AACTATAATAATAATGATGATGATGATGATGATGATGATGATGATGATGATGATGATGATGATGATGATGATGATGATGATGATAATAACAATAATGATAATAATGACAATGATAATGATAATGGTAATAGTAATAGTAATATAAGACATATTTATAGCGCTCAACCCTGATTAAAGAACACATACTCTGAGCACTATAAAGATAAAATGTATGGTTCTTTTCCTCTAAGCAGAGGGTCAGTATAGCTTAAGGTGGTCTTACGGTTGTCTTCATGCAGCTTCTTTCATGGCTTATTTCTTCCTATGTTTGAAGCGCAGATTCTGTCGCATGGCAGTGCTTGCATGTCAGTGAGGCGGATCAAAGCTCTGTATTTTCGTTGTTTTCCTTTCGTCGTTAGCGCTTCTCAGTCTGGTTGTTTCTGAGGCTACTCTCTAGCATTATAGTTCTTTCCTTTATCATTTTCCTCCATGTTTTCCTGTCCTCAGCTATTTCTTCCCTGATACTGACATCTACTCCCTACTTAAAAGAGCAAAACATAAAAAGTACATTGTGTTCTGACTAAAATCTATACTTTCGTGTTGTATTAATCTAAAAGCAGAAATGACTTTTGTTGACATTAGAATGAATAAAAGATTTGATCTCTTTTGAAATACAGGGTAGAACATTCCAGATGTGCCTTATTTGAATTAATAATAGATTTGATCTTTCTTGAACTTCTTGGCAAAGCATTCCAAATGTGTCTGTCTGTCTATCTTTTTGTCCTTTTTTCTTTCTTGTTTCTGCCTGTCAGTCTTTTCGTCTATTTATCATTTAATCTTGTTTCTTTATGTCTGTCTTTTTTGTCTTTTTATCTTGTCTCTGTTTTTCGGTCTTTTCGATCTTTTATCTTTTTATCTTGTTTCTGTCTGTCATGTCTGTCTTTTTGTTTTTAATTGTATAAAATCTGATTTCTATTTGTTTCTCTTTCTGTCCTTTTATCTTTTTATCTTGTTTCTGTCTGTCATGTCTGTCTTTTTGCTTTTAATTGTATAAAATCTGATTTCTATTTGTTTCTCTTTCTGTCCTTTTATCTTTTTATCTTGTTTCTGTCTGTCTTGTCTGTCTTTTTGCTTTTAATTGTATAAAATCTGATTTCTATTTGTTTCTCTTTCTGTCCT